TTAAAAAATTGAAGGTGACCATGCTTTTTTATCAAAAAAAAATGTTTGGTCAATTTTTATTATTGCAATTTGTTGCCGGTTAGAAACTGATAAATTTCTGTTTATGACTTTTTTATGTCAGATTATTGTAAGTGTCTTAAAAATCGTGGCGACCGTTACGAGGACCACCCTGTATGCAGGGTGACCAGTAATGACCGCCCACTAAGTACATAGCATTATTCCTTACCAAAAACTGAGAGGAAAAGTCCTGAGCCATTTTTCTTTATAACGCTTAATAAAGCTGCTAGTATGCGGCGGCACACACTTCACGGCGCATGGTTCAGCGACGTGCGCCCGGATAAAGGTCAGCGCTGATTGGCCAGACTTTACTCAATAATAACTCCTTCATTAAGCGTTATAAAAAAAATGGCTCAGGACTTTCCGTCTCAGTTTTTGGTAAGGAATAACGCTATGTATTTAGTGGGAGGTCATTGCGGGTCACCCTGTATATGCGTTATCACTTTATGTTTGTTTGATTTTATTCGAAATACTCTTTTCTATACACACGCACGCACGCACGCATATATAAACAGGATATCCCAGACCTACCGCACCACCTGCTAACGGCAGATTCTTGAGATTATTTAGAAACGATTTTTCCTCTGCGATAATATCTAGAGAGGTCATTTATTAAAATTCTCTCTCTCTATTAAAGTAAACCTTATCTGAAATTAATTAGAGAATGTAGTTTTAACTCTCTATAATGTTTAGTTTGCAAAAAGCCTTTCTTTTTGAACCACTTATAACACAGAAATTATTGATGCCTCGACATTTTTGCTAACGAAAAATCATCTCCAATTGATATCAAGAATCTGTTATTAGCAGGCGGTGCGGTAGATCTGAGACATATAAAATAAATATACATGTATACAACAATATATATATTTTTCTATGTATTTAACTAAAAATTATTCAAATAATATCGTGTTAAATTTCATTTTAACTAGCGCAAAAGTCTCATTAATTTATCAAAAACTTAATTTTAAAAAGATAAAAATATAAAAGTTTTAGTTTATACAGATAAATCGGCTGCCAGACAGATATGATAATAGATAATAGACAATAATCTTTGAAGTTCTCACGCTCGCACGAGACAGGCGGATTGTAAAGTAGACGTAGACCAGTTCCTGAACGAAACTATGCATTGATATTATATTGATATTATAAATTTTCTTTTAAAATCCATATTTTTAAAAATACGAATTTATAAAATAAAGCAAAATATCAATAAAAATGCCTATTTTTATTCAAGATCTTATACATTTACTGAAGCATTTTTATATAAGAAGTAAAATTCTCTTGTCATATAAGCGGAATCTAGCGTAAATATTACTATTTTCATCATCAAAAAACATTATAGTGGGTGCGAGTAACTTGTTTTACCTTAGCTATTTGAGTAAAACCACTGGCAGGTTCAGCGTGACCAAGATTAGATTTTACGGAACCGATCATCAGTGGGATCTTTCTATCTTTACACAAAACATTATGTATAGCATTGACTTCTTCAAGATCACCAACTTTAGTACCAGTACCGTGTGCTTCCATGTAATCCAAGAAAAGCGGCGATATTCCGCATTCTTTATAAAGCTCCGTCATCAAAATGCTCTGCATATGCGTCGACGGGAACGTTATTCCCTCTTCTTTATAACCGTCATTGTTTATTTTAATATGCTTACACGTAGTATAAATTCTTTTAGCATTTTTTGCCCTTTGAAGATATATCACCGATACGGTTTCGCTACGCGAATAACCGCTGCTATCAGTATCAAAAGGTCTACAAGTACCATCGGATGACAAAATATCTAAAATTATGTATGGCATGTACATATCTTTCAATAGTATATCAAAAATTAATTTATATTACACGGGATTTTAATTAATTTAATACCAAGATGAGAGAAATTCAGATTTATAACTGGATGTAAACATAAATGTGCGGTCCCAATTATTGCGTCCTCGCATCGGCCCGATATGATATCGCGATAACCAAGAGCCATGGCATAAAGACTAGAACTGCATGCTGTATCAACTGTGTAGGACGGTCCTTTTAAGTTCAGATAGTACGAAAGGATATTTGCCATTGTAGATTTGCTGCATCCAATGATACAGCAAAAAAATTGCTGAAATTAATTAGTTGTCATGTAAAAAACTATTATCATTTGTAAATTTATTAGTTTCTCAATTATTTAATTAGATTTAAAATTTTTGATAAAATTTATTTAAGCTAAATTTTATTTCCAAAATTTTAATATAACTTACAATTAGAAAAGTAATTATTCAAAGATAATACACGCACTATATTAATTAATAATTAATCGAAAAAAAAGTTAATTAATAATTAATCGAAAAAAAGTTATAATAATAAAACTTTTTCAGTATCCATACTTCACAATATCCCGAATTCTGATCAAGGAAAAATACAGCGAAGGGTAATGGAGTAATTTAGGCATTCCGAGGCAAGATATGAAAACGAAAAGAAACGGACTCTTAGATGTGAAAACAATGATTCATGGATGGACAGTTAATTATCTGTAAAAGATGAGAAAGGTGAAAAAAGTATTTTTAAAGGTATTTTTTATCAAAAGGTAAAAAATATTATTTATATTAACTATTACGTACTTTGATAAGATATTTTTAGTATATTGTAACGTTATTGTAGAATTATTTGTTTATGATTAATCGATCGTTATTTTTGTTTGTGCACAATAATGCATCAGTTTATTTTTAGGTTACTTTTTAGAAGTCAATGATGAAATGCAACATACAAGTTTCCAATAACTTATATATGCCTGAGACTTATATATATCTGAGACTTCTTAAAAAGTAAATAAATAACAATTTAACTTGTATATCATCGATGCAATGCTAAAAATTGTGTTCACATGCAATGGTCCTCAGGCTCTGAAGCCATTATACGTACATGAACAAAATTTTAGCATATAAAGAAAAATGTAAACACAGTAAGACTTAGACAGTAAGCGAATTCATCAAGGATAGTATTTTTTAAATAGTTCTCGTCTCGTTGTGATTGGTTAATTACCGTTTATTGTCTAAGTCTTACCATAAACCTATTATTAATAAATTTTACATATGTTTCAGATGGACAATCTATATTTCTATACATTAATTAATGATAAATAACATATATAATTTGTCACAGTCAATTTTTTCAGTTTTGTGCATTTTATATATATTATTTTAAATATAAATATTATTTTATAAATAAATTATAAATTACAAATTATAAATTATAAATTATATATATATTATTCGTAATCTCAAATTTTATAAAAATTTGTTTACTTTATTAAACTTTTATTGACACATTCGTGTGTATTTAAAAAAGATTTTTTTTTTAATTGTATAAACTTATATGTTATTTGCTTGTATATATTTGTACATTTGATATTATTTTTACAATAAACAAAAAAATTTTTTCATAATTTCTGCATTTTTATGTATTTACAATTACCTTTCTTTAGTAATTAAGATAGAAATAGAAAATCGACTTAAAAAATAAACGAATAATTTTTCCATTTCATCAGTTGTATTTTT